GTAGGAATAGGAATAGTGGATATGGGTTCGAAGCATAGTCCTACAAGGAATAGGAATGGCGTGCACATGCGAGGCAGACGGACAAAGCCTAGTCCGCGCGGGACTAGGCGAGGCAGGGGCGTGCACGTGCGAAGCAGGCAAGGCGCGCCTCGCGCGCCAAGGAATAGGATAGCCGAGGGCGGCGTGCGAGTACTTGGGCGCAAGACTCAAGCTTCTAGAAGTACTTGGTGTGAAAGTCAAGATATTAGGAGATCTAGTAGATTTAGGAATTTATGGTAGTAGGATATTTTCTAGCCTTAGGATTTAATATTTAATTATTTATTTAGTTTCCTAGTAAGAATAGATCTAGAGATCGTTGGTATCTATAAATACCCCATGTACCTCATCATATTTTACATGTCTTGAATTGAGTATTGAATTGGTGAGCCAATTTTGAGGGGGAACCTTGTGTGCTTAACGTGTGATAAAGAAGGCCATTAGTGCGTCTTTACATGCAGTGTCGGAGAGAAGGCCAATAGTGCGTCTTGAAGTCACTTGTCTAGGAGAAGCCCGCAGTGCGTCTGCTAGATACATCTATCGGGGATAAACGAAGGCCTCAGTGCGTCGTTTATTCGCAACCCAGTATAGACAAAAGATCGATCCGTCATCACGCGCGAGTGCGCGACAGGCGCGCAAGGCCTAATCCGTGTAAACATAGGCGAAGCGGGCAGCGCGAGCGGCACGTGCAGAAGAGGCGTGCGCGGGACTCGCGCAGGTGGCGAGGACGCGCGACAGCTGGGCGGTAGTAGCGATGAGCGCGCGACAGCGCGCGAGTACGGGGCAAGCACGGACAGCCCAATCCTAACAAGCGTAGGCATGACGGGCGCGGGCGGACACGCGCAGGAGGAAGGCGGCGCGAGAGAGGCGCACGACGGCGCGCGCGTGCGCGGGAACGCGGCGTGCGATGAGGCGGCCGAAGTAGTTGGGGCGCAAGACTTGTCTTCTAGAATTTCTTGGAGTGCAAGGCAAGGAATTGGATAGCAAGTCAAGATATTAGGAGATCTAGTAGATTTAGGAATTTATGGTAGTAGGATAATTACTAGCCTTAGGATTTAATATTTAATTGTTTTATTAGTTTCCTAGTAAGATTAGATCTAGAGATAGTTGGTATCTATAAATACCCCATGTATCTCATCATATTTTATGTTGAATTGAGTATTGAATTGGTGAGCCAATTTTGAGGGGGAACCTTGTGTTCTTAACGTGTGATAAAGAAGGCCATTAGTGCGTCTTTACATGCAGTGTCGGAGAGAAGGCCAATAGTGCGTCTTTGAAGTCACGGTGTCTAGGAGAAGGCCGCAGTGCGTCTGCTAGATACATCTATCGGGGATAAACGAAGGCCTCAGTGCGTCGTTTATTCGCAACCCAGTATAGACAAAAGATCGATCCGTCATCATTGGTGCTCTCGTTGAGAGGTGCTGATCGAGATTTTGTCTATCTTGTCTTTATTTTTTTCGGTTTTTCCTTTTGGTGAGGGAACCGAATTTCTCTTATTTTTTGAGTCGAAATTTTCGAATTAATATTCGAATTTTTCATTATTTTCGTGTCTTAGAAAAAAAAAAAAAGTGTCAACTTGTTAGTCCTTTGTTATTTTTCGGTTATTACCTTTTGTTGAGGGGCCGAATCTCTTTTTGTTTCGATTTTTTGAGTCTTGTTGGGGGTTCAAATTTTTCTAATTTTTCCCTACTATTTTTTGATTTTTTAGAGTCTTAAAAAAAAAAAAGGTTATGATGTTACCATTAGAAGAGTGGGATCAAGAGGATCTCGAATATCTCGAAGGGTTGGAGAGGAGTTTGACCCCATGGGAGCAAAATTATTTAGAGGAGATGTACGAGCAAAAAGGGGAGTATGAAAGACAACTCAAGATCATGAAGGAAGAGCAACAAGTTGTGACCCGTGAGGAGGAATCGTACATGATGATCGCAGGGACCGAAGTGCTCGAAGTCGAAGAGGTGATGGTCGCGATCAACGACTTAGGCCCATCTATGGCCGACGATCAAACCGATGATACACGCATAGACGATGAAGAAGCAGACATAGTCGGTGAGGGCCATGACGAGATGCACGCACAGTACGGTGCATATGAAGAGACGATCGAAGTCGAGGTCTTGGTCGAGGACCGTGAGTGGTATGCGCGTATGGTTGGTGAAGGAGTGCTCAATTTTTGGACGATCGAGGATGAGTCCTTGAGGGCAAGGACATTCTCAAAGGGGGCGGGAATGATGCAGAAGTGGGTTCCGAGCCCCGACGACGAGAAGGTCCACGAGCCGAAACGACCCAAGGAGGCTGAGAAAGGGGCCAAAACGACGCATGCATGGCCTAGAAGACGGGTACGAGCTCGTATGCGAGGCGTACTTGGACGCAAGAAAAGGCACATTCTAGAAGG